AATTAGTGAATGAATGAAGTCATACGATTCATAACGAAGGAAAACTGTTGTTCTCAGTAATGATTAAAAAATCCGCGTTTTTCCAGGACACGTCGCACGAAATGGTGGTAGCCTGCTGCCGTTTCCTGTGCTACTTCTGCCGCACCGGCCGCCAAAACCAGAAGGCAATGTTCGACCACTTCGACTTCTTGCTGGAGAACTCCAACATCCTCCTGTCGAGGCCCTCGTTGAGAGGATCCACGCCTCTGGATGTGGCTTACTCCAGTCTTATGGAGAACACTGAACTGGCGCTTGCTTTGAGGTTTGTGTTCTTCTGTGTTATTTTTAAGTTATTGCGTTTGAGCAATAGAATAAATCCTTCTTTGTTTGATCAAGTATAAAATAATACCCTGTATACAGTATGAAATAACACCTGTGTGCCTACCATGAGTTTACGTTAGGTGTGCTCGCTAGCGACTGCGTAAAAAAATGACATTTAAATGTATGACATATTGTGCAGCGCCCCTAGTGGCTACTTTCAAGAAATAAAATCTTCATAGAATTTTTTGACGTATTCGCTAGCGAGCTCACCTAACGTAAACTCATGGTAGGCACACTGATATATAGAGTGAGTTAAACGAGTGAACATCCTTGTAAGGGAAAACAATACAGGCCATTTGCAACCAAGGTGCCTAGGCAAAAGTTGACCGTTTATGATTGAAATTTTGAATAATAACTTTGTTTGCTTAAAAACACTTTATAAGGTGTATTTATTTGACTCATTTAAATGTAGTGCTCTTGCTTAAAAACACTTCATCATCATCATCATTTCAGCCATAGGACGTCCACTGCTGAACATAAGCCTCCCCCAATGACTTCCACATCGCACGGTTGGTAGCGGCCTGCATCCAGCGCCTTCCTGCTACCTTTATCAGGTCGTCGGTCCATAGGTAAAAACACTTAACAAGGTGTATTTATTGGACTCATTTAAATCGAGTACTCCAGACAGTTAAAACTAGTCTCGTTATGATTTTGTCACCACTTGTCAAGGTGAACGTCAAACTCTTATCTTAAATGTTCTTATATTCTATCTTATCTACCAACAGAGAACACTATCTAGAGAAGATAGCAGTGTACCTCTCCCGTTGCGGGTTACAAAGCAACTCGGAGCTGATAGAGAAAGGATACCCCGATCTTGGCTGGGACCCGGTGGAAGGCGAGAGATACCTGGACTTCCTGAGGTTCTGTGTTTGGGTAAGTGCTTGATGTATTTGCTGAATTTGTACCTAAAAGCATATGGTATCCATATTTAAATTGATATGTCGAAGGAGGTGATAGATTTTGAAGAAAAGCGATACTTCCTATCACAGGCACTTTCTTTCACACACTTTTTTCCATTAGTCACTCATCCAGTTGCTTCCACTTCTCACGTAATCATCTTTTAAAAAAACCTGGCCCGTATTCACAAACATTACTATGAGGTCTCACAGTGCGCGTGGACACAAAGGGTGACACATGAACCAATCACAGAGTTCTATTCAACGCTGTGCGTTCGATTTTCTGCTTCACTTAAGTAAGGATCGTTTGTGAATACGGGCGTTGAGGCTGAGTTGCATTAATCTTAGTTTAACCGTAACTATGACTAATACAGGTGTTTTTTGTATGGTTCTGACAGATTTTGGGCGTTTGTTAAAGTTATATGGTGCAACTCAGCCCAAAAGTCGTCAGTGGATGACACAAGCAATGTCAACCTTTTTTTGATAGACCAGCGACTATAGATGACCCACGCTGAACTGTCCCACCAAACTCAATGACCATCGTTCAACTATATGGTTTCCAACATGGCAAAAATCGGAACCAGCGATCCGGTATTGACAGTGGCGTCCCACTGTCAATGTCATGGATAGGACAGTTCAGAATTTTGGAACTATACTGGACACAGCAAACCGGTTTCCTGTAATGGTGTGCCGTATTGATTGCAAGTGTCTACATTTACGCACCCTTTTTCAACTTTCTAAATAAATCATGTTACATCCAGGTTAACGGCGAAAGCGTAGAAGAAAACGCCAACTTAGTAATCCGTTTGCTCATCCGTCGGCCGGAGTGCCTGGGCCCGGCCCTGAGGGGCGAGGGCGAGGGCCTGCTCAAGGCGATAGTGGACGCCAACAAGATGAGCGAGCGGATCGCCGACAGGAGGAAGCTGAGGGAGATGGAGCAAGAGGGCGACGTCACTGTGAGTATAGTCTTTGACCGACTTCCAAAAAGAAGGTTTTCAGCTTGTAGTTTCCACAATAAACCCGTGGAGCCACCAACATAAGTCGTCGACGTGACTTCAGGCGACTTCACATCAAAAGTTAGTCGGCTGCACGATACCAGCAACTTTTTTAGTTGCTAATAACTATCCACGCTACAGCTACTATGACGACCGTATGTGTAGAATGGTGACATAATGTCGTGTTTCTCGAGTATCGGCGGTAAAATTAGCACGTAAGTCGCAAACATGCCACCGGCATGTTGCCACAAATTGTCACGCAACATGCGAAGGTACTATAGTCTGGTTCGTGAGCACGTAGAATTTTGTCCAATGACCCCAAGCTACCCATCCTTATCGCTCGCGCGTAATTATGTTGCTGTCGCGCTCACACACTCACTGCGGGCGCCCGTCGCACAGTCGCTCACAGACCGGGCTTTAGTCGTCGACATGATCCGTTTAAAATAAACATAGATAACAAGTCGGCGGGTTTGATGTACAGAACAGACTCCTTTAA